AGGTATATAAAAAATTCAAATTATATCAGGGGTATTATTCTTGAAAAAAGAAATATAATTAGGTATTTACTCGTAATTGTGTATAAAAAAATCTAAATCCACTTAAATATAAAATAAATATTAAAATATTTACTTGTTCTAAATCTTGGCTTTAGCGCCATCTATGAAGTAATATAAAAAATATTTTGTCATAGTACAGTTAAAGTAGTAAATTGAGCAGAACGTCTTAGTAGAGAAGATTTGTTTTTCATAATAATTATAACAGATTGCGCTTGTTTACTAATATTTATTAATTATAGCTTTAATCAAAATATTTATCATATTATCTAGTTATGGTATGTTAAATTACGATCCCTTTTATTAGAGAAATGTTACTACTCTGTATATGACTTCTGTACTGTTGCTTAATGTAAATAATTAAAAATGAATTTTCAATAATGTTGACATTGTTTATTGCAGAATGTATTTATTATAATTTATTATTAAAGTTATTGGATGGTTGTAATATTCAAGTTAATGTAATGATTTTTGTATGTCTATCCCTTATTTCAGACACAATGTATATTGTTTTTTTTTTTAATAAATGACTAATGACTATGGATATTTATATAAGTCGACATATTATTTTTTATGTTATTTGCATCTTTAAAACAAATACATTTTACCTCTATTTTTTAAATTGTATATAAAAGTATATAAGTATGTATTAAGGTTTTGTTTAAACTGATATATATATATATATATAACTTTAGTGAGAGGATCGCAGCCTATTAGTTCATATTGTACACTATCTAGACGTATGAACCTGAGTAGTCGTGAATTCAAAATTGGTCGAAAGTAATTTATATATTAATTTAAATCTTCGCTAATAAAAACACCATTATCAAAATAACTTCAGTGACGGCGGTAGGCTTACCTTCTATATTAAACTCGACGAGTAATTTGCTAATAATTGCAACACATTTATGGTGTCAAAAATGAGGTATCTTTATTTCAGAGTATATAACATACAAAAAATAAATAGCAAAAAATATATTTATTATTATTATTATTTCAGCCGTCTAATGTACACTGCTGAACATAAGGGGAATTTTGCCAGTAGTTGCCACGCTTGGCAGGCGGGTTGGCAACCGCAGTTAGGCTTTTAGAGATGCTGCTGCCCATCCCTCGCCCTCCCTTAGTCGACTCTTACGACACCTACAGGAAAAGTAGGGGTGGCTTATTCTATGCCGGGACCACACGGGGCACAAAAAGAATATATGTACATAAAATAAAATTGTTTTATATTACGGTACAAATTGTTGACACTAGCAAGTCGCGTTTTTTACTATGACTATATGTCGTGACCCTATTTTTGTCTTAAATAAAAATCTGCAATGTCATCCATATTACAATACGATATATAATACAATATATATTAAAATTTATATATTTTAATTTTTTTTATCAAATGTCAAAACAGTTTCGTCTAAAACTAATAATGAGGTTACATTACTTAAAAATAATTGCTTTTAACAATGACTGGCAAAAGTGTAAAACCTGCGAAATACCATCTAGTATGCGTTTCTATGAATATTTTACATATAGTCATGCATACGAAGAAAGAGACAAGCAATAATATTTTTCTTAAAAGAACCACAAAGATCGTTTCTTAAGTAGATTTTTCTGATAGACACGGATATACATTCACGGATATAGATAAAACAATGTAAATTGTATACACGTAAATTTTTACGGTTATATTAATTAATTAAGTAATTAAGTTAATGTCCCCAATCAATCGAAAGAATAGAACAAATTTGGAAATGTACTATCACTAAATACTCTTAGTGTAGCCAGAAATTATAATTGATAGGAATTTTTATTTGGTTGGGTAAATGTTGTTTCGAGACAAAAATATATTTATAAAAACTTATAATTGTCCATTAAAGAACATGGAAGCTTAAATTAACTATACTAGCATTCAAACAACAAATTTGTAGGAAATAAATATACAAATAAAATAATAATATATATTGTAACTAGGGACCCGCCCCGGCTTCGCACGGGTGCAATTCTGATACTAAATAGCCCCCCCTATGTCCGTGTATTTTAAATCTGTAATATCTTCGAAAACATTCATAAAAATTACATGCTGTAAACAGATATATTGTTCTATATTAAATGGACAATATATTTAAAGTACATAAGTGAATAAAAATTAATACTGTATTGTTTAAAATCACTTCGTAAATAAGCCATTTTTCCCCGTAAAATATAAAGGATAAAAAATGGTTATTGTGGGTTATCCTTAAGAGATAGAGATATACCATCGCGGACTTTTTTGTTGACCTTTTGAAGGTATACAATACTGTAGTACATGATTTTGATTTATCTCGTGCGGTTCAGCCAGCGTTTGCATTGTGAGCGCAAAAAAGTGTGTTTATTTACGACATCACATTAGAAATCCCTAAAATTATCAATGTTTCTTTACAACATTATGCATGTATTATACATATAAACCTTCCTCTTGAATCACTCAATCTATTAAAAAAAACCGCTCGAAGATCCGTTGCGTAGTTTTAAAGATTTAAGCATACATAGGGACGGACAAACAGCCACAGCGACTTTGTTTTATACTATGTAGTGATAGTGATATTACATAGAAATGTGAGTTTAATACGTACTTATTTATACAATAAATAAAATATAATAAATAAATATGCTATCTACATAAAACATTTAGTTTGATGATTTTATAACGTAATGGTCATATTTTAATAAGAAAAAAATTATTGGGAATCTGGAGAGAAAAAATGTAGGTTAAGTAGGGTAGTTTAATACGAACTGTAATAGATTAATAATAACGTACATATTAATTACTTGGCATAGATATTTATTATTACTGAAACAATATTGAAATTTTCAATAAAAAATAATGTAGTTCAATCATCATAATTCACATCACCTCAGCTATTACACATTTATAGTGCTAGCTATTTTTTATTGAACTAAAAAAATATTTTCAAGCAATGATGTATATGGTAAAACAACGTTTGCCGGGTCGGCTAGTCTGGCTATATAAGAATATAACAATCTATATAAGAAACGGTTCTGAGCCATTTGCATCTACTAGCTCCCTGCAATACATTTAAGGTCGTCATTCTATCTAGTGGGGGTCATATTACACTGTATTTGCTCGTATGGGGTCGCCAATTAAAAACCTTTCTTCCCCATTGATTGTCGGTCTTTCAAGCTATGTGAATAGCCCAGTAATGTCACAGTAACCTAATAATTTTCTAGTAAATTACTAGATCACATTTTGTTTACACTTAATAGTACCTACGTTTCCTTTAAACATCGCAATTGATGGGGTTAAACTTTTAAAAAAATACAAAGAATTAAAAAAGAAACAAACAATTGCTCATGGATGAGCGAGTAAATATAGAATGACTCAGGAAAAGATTGAAAATATTAGGAATAAATTAATATAAACGATTCTTGGAATTAGACGTCATAAGACATATTGTATAATTTTATGAACTTAGAGACCCGAACCACTGTCAGTTAGTTAATCAAGATCAACTTGCATAATATTTATCAATACACGAGTTTTTATATCAAGAATAACGCAATAAGTACCTACGGCAACATTTTTTTATTATTTCAATAACACTACGTAATATAAGATTGCAATACATGTAATATGGTATTATACGTGTAAAAATATATATGAGATTAACTTAAAATGGTTGAAGCATTCTTTGTGGAAATGACTATATAGAACAAATCACTTTTCAAATAAAAACACATTGCGTTCAAGTTTAAGATGCATTCCAAAATTTTTGTAGTAGAGAATGCTACCAACATTAAATCCGTCTCTGATACCACATTCTCATTTGATTAATAAAGTTATGTAAATAAACAAATTGAAATCAATAACGTAGTACTCGTAATAAAAGAAAATAGGTAGAAACGTTAAGTGCACCGAAAGTGAAACCTCTAGATGCCACTAATTTAGCACTTCTATTTATTTATTTATTAAACTTTAATACGCCTAGATAGTATAAATGACGGACTTAATACCATATGACATTATTTGCCAGTCAACTGTAGGCAGGAATACCAAAAAATATAATTGTCGATACAATGCAATAAGTAAAAAAATAGAAAAAAAAACAATATTACATCTTTATGCATAAACACAACAAATATCATATAATATATAATAGTTATATGTAACTAATATACATTAATACCTATTTTATCTACATTATACGTGCATACATATAAAATAAAGGCAGACGAAAAACAAAGTAAAAAATCAGCATCCGACAAAGCAAAACGTCTAAAAAGTATGCCATACGTATGTTTGAATGCCAATTTGTTTGGGGCAGATCAACAATGCCGATAGGTACTAGGTAATTGAATATAAGTAAATTAGCCATCGTATATATTGTTCTTGATTCAATACCACATTCCTTTTAAATGTTTAGACAATGTGTTGAAATGTATAAAAAAGTATCTATTATGTATCTATTACATATGTATTAAAATATTTCAACCGACTTGAAAAAGAAGATTCTCAATTTTTTTGTATTTTTTTTGTGTTTTCGTTCCTCATAACTTAGTCAGTTTTATACAGTAAAATTATTTTTTTATCTGAAAGTATATACTCACAGACCGATTTCATAGAAGTTTTATTAAAATCTGTAGTTAATTTTAAAATTTAAAGATCTACATAATTGATTCTGTCATAATTGAAGTGTTTTTTTTTGAGACACAATCTTTAATTATATATATTCAAAAGTTATTGATTACAATATGTTCATTGATTTGGAAGCTAAAATGCAGAGACACTCGTATCTATTTGGATACCTGTACATTATAAGTTTGAAGATTTTTTTATTAAAATTTACATCTTGTTTCTGTGTTAAATATTCAAAGGTAACGGTAGATACAAATTATAATCTAATAGTTTAAATGTTACAAACAATAAATAGTACCTTCGTGCGTATAACTCAATTTATTTAAAAAGAAACACGTTAAGTTTCACCCATAGACTTACAATAATACGTGCGGTCTTTACCATTTTTTATTTGGTTTTGTTTTCCTATCTATAGGAAAGACAAAAGGACAGAGTCTATGCAGCAGTTGTCTTTAAGTGATTTCTATTATGAAACTTTTTTTTCAGTCAGTACATGTTTGACTGTCAATTACCTGAAATGTCAAACTTGCCAAATTAAATGTTATTATTAAACTGACAAATTCATGTAACTGGAAGCATCTGAAATGTATCAAAAAGAAAAAAATAAACCAAAATCTCCTCCGTATAAGCGAGGTAGACCAATAGCTGGGATATTACATTTTATACAGCCAAGACAAGATAACCAAACAATAGCAAATTCAATTGAACTTCAGACAGTGAAGGAGGACTTCAAGGCAGATTTAATTGAGAGTGCTGTAGACCGTGATGAGAGAGATGAAGCTTTCAAATCTGAAATAGAAAGATTTATAGAAATATCAAAGTACTTTTCAAGTCCTTTGCGCAAAACAGCTTCGTACATATGCGAAAATCGGCTTGTCTCATATCCCAATCCATACAGAATTCAATATAAACGAGGTGGCATCATTGCACAGAGTATAAAATTCTGTAATCTCATATTAGAACCCGTATATATCAAGTTATACAAGTTGGTGCCAGATTTAGAACAACTTAAATATACTAATTTGTCACTGTCTCGAAGCAAAAGAATACCACCAGGTCTGTCGTTCAACTTGGGATTCGTTTACGACGATGTCAATGAGAGGCCATCGTGCTACACCAAGATGATATTTGTTGCGTCCAGAAAAACTACTACACCGTGTTATCAAATATGTGAAATAGATTTGCAAATTGATGCTCAGAAACTCCGATGGGTTACGATTTGAATGTAAATTATTCATGCATTAATTCTTTGAACATAGTGCAAATTGCATCTGTGTGCTAAGTGTGTACGTACGAGTATATCTAGGAATTATGAAGCAATTTATATAATAGTACTAGTAATATTTTATTTATTTATTGCATTTTATCGATGACTTTTCATGTTATATCTTTATATATTTAATAAATATATTTACAGTCCTCAGTTCGTCATCATTATATCCGTTCTGTGTCAATAAAAGTTGATATACTAAGCGCATTTTACAAGGACTTTTTTCATCCTGAAAAAAAGCAATTTTTCCTTATACAAAAGGTTAAAAATTTATGACATAATAACAACAAAGTTATGTTCCGCAATAAAAATAGACTTCAATTGTGCCTAAACCACTTATTTAGATTAATTAGAATACTAAATCGATTTTAATAAAATTTCTATGAAACCAATTTAAAAGTATACCTTTTAAGAAAAAAAAAATCCCAATCGTTTTATAACTAGCAGAGTTATGAGGTCCCTTTTTGAAGTCGCTTAAAAATTATGTCTATCACGTGAGCTAGTTAATAATAAAATGTGTTATATACTACAGATATTTACCTTAACTAGGTATTTACACCTAACCTGTTTGTCTTCGTCTGACCCCGATTTTCTGTTATCTACTTTATACGTGGAAGTGTATTGATTTACCTTATTATTTTAAAGATGTTGTCCTTAATTATCTTTTCATAAGGCTTGCATGTAGCAAGGGACAGAGCGAAAAGAAATATTGGATCATTATTAGAAAAAAACTAGTTCAGGTCGACCTAAACACGGTTTCCCTAAGAGTAACTGGAAGTAACCCTGTTTATGGGATAAGTCTGTCATTGTACTCATTCTTTTCTTAAGAACTGTGTATCCTATAACCTAATGGTTAATTTCTGGCGAATTTATTGCGATGGCTCGATTGACTTGGCATCATATTTACCTATAATATGTCTATTTACGTAGACATGGTTACTATTCTATATTCGTTTTATAAAAAAAAAACCCTCAAGAGGCTTGGCTTGAAGTTAGATTTATAGATAAATATATGTAATTAAACTATTATTTTATTATATTAGTTAATATTTAAATGTGTCTTTAATGAATCATCAGACAGGTCTATGGCTGCGCAGTAATGAGAGGCTTCTTGTTTTCTGCGTGGACTACGCGTGGATTCAATATATGGTTAAGTTTCGAATGCAAGGATAACATGTAGGTACTGGATGCAATAATAATATACAACTCGGATCTAATAATATTATGGCTAGTGGAAAATGCCGTGATTAGTGTTGTTTCATAAGTCATTATTACTAATAATACTATTACTTCGTACTACACAGAACAGAACTATATCAGAATATACTTGAAATAGGTACAGTACTTTTAAAAACAATTTGAGTGGTTTTTGGCTGGCAAAAATATATTTTTTATATTATCAAAAATAGGAAGAATATAAGAATCCAGCCACTCCCTCCTAAAGACTAAAGAAACATAACACTTTTCTGTCTTTATACTACATACCAAAAGAAAATAATACTAAAAAATATTACTGACATTAACTACACTACACACACAATGTTTTGTTGTTATTAGCTCTCTCATTAACATTTAGTTGTAATAATTGATACAAAATGCAATTTAGAATGACAAATAAGCTGATGGCCCACCTGATGGAAAGTAGTAACCGTTGCCTATAGACATGAACAGTACCATGGACATAACAGAGTATACCGTTTCGCCCATGATATCTCCCCCCCCCATGCATTGCCATTCTTAAGGACTTAGGTATTATTCCTCTGTATCCTGTAAATTTACTGCCATATCCCACCCTTCAAACCGAAACAGCTAGGCAAAGGCAAATGCTTCACGGTAGAAACACGAATGGAACAGAGGTACCCAAGCAAACGACTTTTGTACAAAGTCTCCCTCTGGTGGTTATCGTTATCGAATTGTTTTTATAATTATTTAAACGACATTAGAATTGGCATCTATTGTATTAACATAATAAAGTTGTAACTACACTACGTTTGTACTATAAGAGCAATAGAAGCCAAAACATAATTTCTTAGATTTTTATCTGTCTGTTTGTCTGTATGTTTATTCTGCCATCAAGCAAAAACTACTACACCAAACTATATTCAGTTCACAGTTGTATTATTGAATGCCTATCTTAAATTCTGCTATATGTTTTATCTTAATGTGTCACTTGGAAATGGTCTATTTATTTTCTTACCGATATAAAAAAATTGTAACTGTAAAATATTAAATAAATAAAGATTGTGCTACACAAAAAAAGCGACTTCAATTGTGGCGACCAGTTATTTATTAAATAAGGGGGAGACTTATGTTCAGCAGTGGAGAGTAAAAGGCTCATAAGATAAATTAAGTTTTAAAAACAGTCTATTCATTAATACATTAATGAAGAGATATTCTGAATACTTTACTATATTCTATTTCTATGCCATTTTTAAATTTTATGTGCATATGTGTATTATTTTTTAAGTTTAATTACGATCTCATTTTTGAAAAAAAAAATACCTCATTTTGTGTGCTTATACTTGTATATCTCATTTATATTTATATTACATATTTGGCGGTGAAAGTGATTTATGAATAATTAATGCAAAGAGGGTAGTCACTGTAGACTGTGACTAATTATTTGTAATAATTCTGAAATTATACGCCCCATGGTAAATAAAATGATGTTGATAATTCTTTTGTTAAATTATTTTGATGATTTTAATAAGGTTGGGTCAATGGATTTTGATATAGGTCTAGCATTTAAATTTCAGATTTCCATGTCTATAGGTTAATAAACATTTTTCATTGTTCTTTACTATAGTCAGTTTCGTTTTCCAAATTCATTTGATATTTATAAAGTACTATCGGTCAACCATTTCGTAACAAAAGAATTACCAACATTATGTAAATAAATGCTTTATTTACCTTATGTTGGTAACTGTTTAGATTATAAATTTAACTATTTATAATTTATTAATAACTATTTTCATTTTATTAAATATTAATTCTATTATCAAATTCATAGATTAGATTAGGTAAGATTTTTGTCAGAATTTAAATTCACTTAAAATTGGATATTAATAACTTAGATAGTTATTAATGTCTAATTTTAAGTGAATTTATTATATTACACATACAATTAACTTAATAAATTTTGGGCAATTAAAATTATTTAAAGATTTGTTTGATACACTATTATAGAAAAATCAATTAAACTGAATTAGGTTTAGGTTAGGTTTTAGTTTAGATATTATGTGAATAGCTATAAGTAGTGTTATTAAATAATAATTTAGGGTTTTGTTAGGATGGGATAGGTAGAAAATAATTAGGAATATTTAAGTTTATCTACGTTATTAGGCATGGATGGTAATAATATAATTACATTGATAGTATTCTTTTAGTAAACTTTTATTATTGATTAATTAATGATTTAGGGTTTTGTTAGGATAGGATAGAATATTTAAATTGATTAGGATACTTAGTTATTAGTTATATATTATGATAGAATAATTAAGCTGAAGAAATTATTTAATAGTATACATTCGCTAAATTAAAATTATTTACGGTTTTGGTAGGATAGGATAGATAGAGAATCGTTAGGATGAGTTCTAAAATTACCTAGATCATTAGATGTAGAGTACAGGTAATGATAATATAATTCTGTTATAATAATAGATTATTTTGTATTTAACAAAAAAAAATCTTTAAGATTTTGATCTGAAACAACAAATTATAGGACTCGATTATTAATAAACTCTTATTCAATTATCCCATTTGGTTATTTTATTAAGTGATTAATCAAATATACAGACATTAAAATATTAAAATAGGGTTTATAATCTTTTGTAAACAATTATCAATTATTATCACTGATTTTATTTTTTTAATCACTTAATCAGATTTTGAAACAATAAACAACAGCGCTCTCAGTCCTCACTAAACTCTTACTTCTTTATTTGTTTATTTCACTATGTGATTAATTAAACATATTATTATCTACAACATAAAAACAGGACATGTAGTTTTCACTAAACTATTATCAATTTTAATACCAATTACTTCATAATAATCAATTAATAGGTTTTGCTACAACAAACAATAGGACTTGTTCCTTATAATAACTCTTACCTAAATATTACTTGGTTACCTAGTAATCAAGCAATCGTATTTAAAACCGCATTGACTTTAAAGAAGCTTAATCTCATCAAAAAGTGATTAGTCAGTTCTTGCAACGTCATAAAATAGGACTCTTAGTCCTCACTAAACTTCTAATAAGTACCTTATTTGTTTATTCTACGTGGTTAATCATTCAAACATATAAAATTTATAAATAAAAACGGCTTATTTAGTTGTTTCATTATGTCATTAATTAAATAAATATACAAACATTATAACTGTTCTTATGGTTTTCATTATAAACTCTTGAATTCCTATTTGGTTAATTTACTATGTGTTTAATCTGTCATGCTATAACAAAATACAACCTTAAGGAACCATCCCGTATATAAGCTTATGATCAATTATCTAAATAGACCAAGTGCACACTATAAACTTAATTACTTTGTTGTTTAATTCACTATGTGGTTAATCGGAATCTACAATTACAAATAACTGGGCTTATGTAAATACAGTGCCTTCTCTATACACACGTTACATTAAACAACCGGATTTATAGTCCTCTTTACACTCATGTATTTCTACATCCGAACCACTGGAGTCCTCTCTATACTCATATTCCTACAACATCAAACAACTGAACTTTATAGTCCTCCTTATGAAAGTTTTATAACATCTTAACTAGCGTTCACTATGTGTCTAATCAGTGTCGCAAATTGGACCTATGGTCCCTGTCATCAAATATATATACGTATATCTAACTTGACAGGACTAGTAGAGCGCTCATCCTATTATAATCAAAATACAGTAGCGCTTGACCTACGGGTTGATCGATTCATATATGGCTACGGCCCATACAACATAAAATGATTTCGGTCTATCCAACAAACTCAAAACTTATCTTACTTTATCTCCACGGATTGATCTTTAATGTCATAATATAGGGGTGAAAAAA